GTTCAGGGTCTGAAGGAAAATACACAAACTGGGCTGCTACCCCATATATCTTTCCCCCTTGAGCATAGCAACTTGATTCTGAGCATCACACCAAATCCTCTCCCCACAACAACATGCCTTTTTATTTTAGGGTCTGATGGATGCACCTTGTCAGTCACATGTCATTTGAAGCCAATGACAGAAGCACAGGGGCCCACCACTGATGTTGGTCACACACATGCACACCATTACTCCAGGCCCAGTTCCCTCCTGGCTCCTACTCACTGGCCTCTCGGTTCTTCTCCATGGTCAGGAATTTCACTCAGTCAAAAATGGCACTCCCTGGTTCAGTCATGATGAGCAACAGGAGATCTAAATGTTCTCCAGGGATTTCTGGTCATGGGATTCTCAAAAACTTCACGGTATTGCCCTAGCCATATTTCAAGAATGAAGAAGTTGGCACTGTTTGTTTTGATTCATTCAGGAGCCATTAAGTGTTGAGGAATCTTTGTTCAGTAAAAGCTCTGGAGATCGCATGCAGGCAAGGCTTTTCAAGGAGTGGCGAAAGGTCACAGGAATCCAGGCCCATTGGGGTCTCAAATATGAGGTTCATGTGAGTTTTGGCTCTCAACTAGAGCTGAAAAGGCTTTAACAGCAAAATCATGTAAAATCCTGGCTGAGATTTCCAGTGGTCTGGAGAAAGCCACCCTCGGCCTAGATCTCAGTTTCCAAAGGCTCTTCTAATGCCTGACCTTGGAAAATCCCAACACAATTCATGGCAAGAGTTCACTGAGATCAATTCCAGAACTCAGTCTCTAATGGCATCACACCAGAGTTCAAGTTGAGGTGGACCCAGTCATCTTTTCCAACCACCACACAAAAGTCCACTATTCTAACAAAAATGCCCCCACATGGCCCTTGTCTTCTTTCATATAGGCACTCATCATAACATTCTTGCTGGGGGTTTGCATAGGGGGAGCAGTCTAAGATGGTGTGCAAAGTAAGCTCTCATGCCCATCATATGCCAAATATCATGGTGACCTGGAAACCCTTCCTGAGAAACAGGATAGATAAAATGGGCCTCTACTTAATACTGCTCTGCTTCTCAAATTAGAGGCCTCCTGCCTGCCAGGGGTAGATTCTTTATGCGTACTGGACTCATAAAAAAAACCAAACACCTGTGTGCTAGTTCCTGGAGGGCTTGCAACAACTCATTTGACCCACAGGATCCCTGTTCTTACTTCATAGAGGTCAGGAGCCTGACCAGAGGAAGGCAAGAGACTTCATCCAATATTACACTTCTTTTTCATGCTTTTAGATTTGGATGGACACATGGGATTTTTCTTAACTTTCCTTGGGTGCTTAGAATATACTTCACAGCCACACACAGGGCCAAGAGTCTGATTCAGACACAGCTTTTACAAAGCACTTTACCTAAAAGGCATAGATGAGGTCTCTTCATTTCCATTTGAAACTGTTTTCTGGAGGATTCCCAAAAAAGGGCCTGAAGGCAAACACCTTTCTGACATTCAGGGGAACAGAACAATAGGGAGCAAAGAAGCCTGGAGAAATGCTTTTCTTTAATTGAACACTGTGGCACTGACATTTCCTAATCATGCAACTTGGGTGGCTATCTATCCAAGCAGGGATTCTCCAGAGAGATCCTTACCAGTCATGTTAATTTTTGACTTTTCTGAGATGCTTGGCATTTTCTTCAGCAATCCAGTCCATGGCCGTGTCACAGAGCTTGATGGTGGTACACGTCTTGGACACAAAACCAGGAACCCTTCAGAGATTGGCCAAAATTCAGGAAGAATACAGGAACTTAGCATCTTGGTAGGTGTTGCCCATCTACAAGGCAAGGAGCAGTCCATTCATAAATTGGCCATGAGGAGTCCTGCAAAGATTTCCACTAGACAGGATACATTCACAGCTGCTTTCTTCTCTCTACTTTCTTTAACCACAAACCCAGTTGGATCCACTGACATTGAAAGACTCACTAGTTAACACTCCATTTCAAACCAACAACAACAACAACAACAAAAAGTTTTCACTCATGCTCTCAGAACATGAGACAAAATGACAAATTGAAAAACACACTCACTAAGACACACAAACCACACCTGTATTTGGTCTGCATCTATTCACTCTGTCCTCTGACTGGTGGTTGAAAATATTTTCCTTAGCAATTGCCTGTCCTGTCTCAGCTCTGGTCTCCTTGGCCATCTGTGTGTAGTTGTCAGGAGCCAGCAATGACCCAATACTTCTTTCTCAGGAAAGGCTCGTGTTCAGACCATTCAAGGCATTTGGCTATCCACACATCACTAGGTGCCAAGAAAAAATGACTCTGGCCTTGGTACAGACAAACAAGTGAGCCCACTGGGACTGGAACTGCCTGTGGGTGCCTTGCCTCCTGGATCCCATGTTCAGAGAGTTCCATCACCAAGGAAGTGAGGTGAGGTCACTTCCTTCAGGTAAGTGAATTAGGTCACTGCCTTGGCAACCAGTTTTTCCTAGCAGTTGTTTCCAAGGGTCCCATGAGATGGAGGCTGCCCCACCTTCCTGGGACACTTTCCCAAGACATCAAGGTCTATATACCCTAGGAGCCCGGGATCAGCAACCCACACAATCCTGATTGTGTCCATCTTC